AGGCAGATTTTCTTGCCGCTTTGAGAACCTAGGTGTGATAACGTCCTTAGATTGTAACAGATCGTGTATGAGATTGTGAGCTTGCAGGATGGGATTTGTTAATATCCCTATGGCACTTCGAACATGTAGGTATGTCTAAATTAATAATGATGATAGTCGTGATGACGGTGATGTAACTTCTGAGCCAGATCTTGTTCAGCACAGTTAGTCATTGCCACAACTCACAGGACCAGATGGAAGTATGTGCCTGCCACCGATCTTTGTGAAGAACTGTAATTTCAGCAGGGCTATATATTAATGAGACTATATTAATAAGACTGCAAGTGTGGATGTATGGCAAAATGTGTATATGTCATCAGCTGCAAGTCAGAAAAAGTGTATTTGTTGATTTTATACACACACACACACACTGTATATGGGCTAGTCCACATGTAAGTGCATTATGCGAATTGCTGTGGATTTTCACACTTTTGCCTCTTTGTCTTGACTTTCTTGTGCACATTTGCATCTATTTTCTCTCCTCTGCTCACAATGCATAGCCATCTGAAGCAAATGAATAGCTTCACTATCTACAATATGTATCCTTGTGGATATTAGTAAAAACAACAACACAAAACCCTTTTCTGCAGAGTTTCTGCAGAGTTTCCCCTACCAAAAGCCCAACTCTTCCAAATGGTTTCTGGTGGGATCACCTTCTATTCAAATAGAATGAGGAGCATTTTAATCATGTAGACAGCCCCTATGAAAAAGAAAAAGGTGTTTTTGGAGATCATCCTCCCTTGCTGGACCCTAAGAACCAAGGGCTTTCCATGTAACACTCAAAAGGGGAAATCTGAACTATCAGAAGTTGATTTTTGCTTTCATTTCCCCACAATGGCCCAAATTACACCACCCACCCAGCTGCTTCTTGCAGGTCAGGCACATGGACCCTGAAAAAGTAATTTCTCTTTCTCTTTTTTTCCCAACTGCCTGGAGTCACTTCCCACAGCATCCTTTTAACATGGTCTTGAAAAGCTCCCCTGGATCAAGCGAATAAAGCCAATCTGGTGTAAAGCAATTGTGATGAATCAAGGAACCATCAGAGACCCCCTTTCCTTAGACTAGAGAGAGAACATGAAACTCTTTGGATTTTCCAAACAGCAACTGAGAACTAGAAAATCCTTAAATAGCCAAATACACCCTATGATTGAGGGGGGGGGGGGAAGGAAGAAGAGGATTTCAAAAGCCCAGCATCCCCCCACCCCAGGGCCCTTTCCCTCTACATGAAGAGGAAATCAGGTGGTGGTAACATGTGTGGACTGCATTTCTCTCCAAATGTTTGCAATTAAACTTAATTGAATTCACTCGAGTTTGAACTGGTCCTGGAGCCAAGCCTACACTGAATGGGCAGTTCTGCCTCTCTCTCTCTCTTTCTCTTTCTCTCTCTCTCTTTCTCCTTTCCCCCTCCCTCTTGCAGGAGTTCCCTCCTTCCCTCCCTCCTTCATCCTCTCCTCCCTATTAAAACAACCTCCAAGGCTCACTTGTTAAAAAGCCCCCATAGAGGCAGAGAAAACCCAACAGCCTAGGGGAGGAAAAAAGAGAGAGGGAGAAAAGGAGAAGTGGAAAGAAGAGAAGAAGGAGTAGAGAGAAAGAAAGGGAAGGAAGGAAGGAAGGAAGGAAGGAAGGAAGGAAGGAAGGAAGGAAGGAAGGAAGGAAGGGGCAAAGAAAGAGGGAAGGAAAAAAGAAAGGGAAAGAAGGATATAAATTTCAAAGGGAGGTCTGGAAAATATTATCCAGTCACCGTTGCTCCAACTGCTGAGGCTGTCGCTGCTGCTCCAGATAGAAGCTCCATTCAGCTCGGACCAAAGAAAGAGCTTTTCTCTTCTTCTTCTCCTTCTTTCCCTCCTCCTTCCCTCCCTTCTTGAGGGATGCTGTCGGTGCAACTTTCTTCCAACTTCGATGCCCGGCTCCTGGAGGACTCCTTGGGTGGAAAGAGCAAAGCTGAGCTTGAAATCCCTTGCCTGGGGTCAGGGAAGCCCCTCGTTTGAATCCGAGGAAGAGGAGGAGGAGGAGGAAAAGGAGAAGAAGAAGAGGAGGAGGAGGAGAAGAAGCCAGCCTGGCAGCCTGGAAGACATCATAGACCAAGATTGAGTTGGAGAGATCCAGGTGGCTCCAAGGCGGTCCTTTTCCATGCCTCTCCGGCCAGGGCTCGCCAAGCCTTGCCAAGCAGAGATCCAGCAGAGGACCAGTTGATCTCTCTCTCCTCGAGATCCTGGGATTCCCCTCCCCACCCCATTGCAGATCCCCTGGGCTCCTTGGTAGATCTTGGATGAGCAAGAAGAGAGCAAGGCGGCAAGGTGAGTGGCGCGATCGCTTGCCAAGCAAGGCAAAGCAAGGGAATGAATGGATGAAATGACCAGATTGGGCTTGGATTTTTGGCAGTTTGGCTGAGATTTTTATATACAGTGTGTATATATATATA